GTAATAATCTGCTGACAATGATGGGTAAGTTAGAAGGGTCTTCACTCAAAACATAGTTCAGAGTGAAATATTGTCCTCAAGGTTGCACTTAGAGTCTGAAGCTCTTTTAAGAATTGTAAACCATTGACGAGTATATTAGTACAAGTTTTTTAGTTTAGCCATGATGCAATTGCCCTATGTATCTCTATCAGTTTTCTTAATGATTAATAAATATACAGTATTGGCCTGATCATGGGTATTCAAAAAAAAAAAATAGGTATATATTTGAAGATGGTAATAATAATGATAGGCTAAAGTAATTTCTAAAGCTATTTAGAGACTTATTGCCCTTTCTATTGCTAAAGAAAAACTAGTATTCCTAGAGTATGCTAGTATTATAAAAATGAAAATAAAGAAAAATAAATGAAATATTAAACAATTATGTGTATTTTTAAGGAAGTAATGGTCTTGTTTTTTTAATATTATTTTTATATTCTTTTATTTCAAAACAAATCACTATAAAGTTTTGTTTTTTGAATATATAGAGATTTTTGAAAATATAATATATCTTAGCTTGATTACTATTTAATATTCTATATATTAAGCTAGTATAGATTTTATTAATATCAAGAAGTTCTATTAAATTATTATTTTTTAATTAGTATATTAATTTTATTATAACTAAGTTTGAATATAAAAAATATAGTTCTTGATACTTTTGTACTATTTAAGTTATCTGATTTTTTTTTTTGAATTAAAACTAAAATATTTATATTATTTAATATAGATTTATATTTGAGATTTTATAGATATAAATATTTTATATCTTTCTATATTTTTTTATATATGTAGTTATAAGATATTTATTGACTTTTTAATTTATATCTACTAGCTATATATATCAAATGATAATATTTTTATTGACTTTGGATTTTGAAAAAACTTTTTATTTAAGTTTTTTTTCTATCTTCTATTTTATGAATTGTTCTTTTAATTTAATTTTTCTTATATTTTAGAATATTTTTTTTCTCTTATATTTAAAAGACTATTATTTATTTCTATTAATAAACTTTTTTTTCAAGAGATTTATTTTTTTCATAAGAGTTTCAGAATATCATCTAGGTATACTTTGATTTTATTTTTTATTTCTTCTGAAATATTAATTATTATTGCATCTTATTTATAGGTTTTTTTTCTTTTTATAAAAATAAATTTGTTAATAGAATTATATATCTATTTTTAATGGCATAAAAGTTGTATTTACTAATACAATATAATGACTTTTAATTATTTTTTAAAACTTTTTGTTTTAACTTTTCTATTTCTTAAATATAAGTAATTATAATTTCATTGTTTACTATTGATTCAATACTTAATTGTTTAATAATTTCTATTGATTATTACTTTAAGTTTATATAGATTTTCTAGATTCTTAATAATTTTTATAAACTTGTTTTCAATATAGAATTATAAGAGATCTTATTTTTTTTTTTTCTAGTTGCCAAAGATATATTATATAATGAATTATAATTTATTGTATTCTTTATAAAAGGTTATCTTATTGACTTTCAATTTTTAATATAATATTATCTAAAATAAATTATATTTTGATAATAAAATTACTTCTCCATTAAGTTTGATATTTTTTGGCATAGCAATTATTGAAAGGTTATAGAGTTGAGTACTTGTTATATTTTGTTAAAATTTTGATTAGGATATTTATTATATTCTCTTTTTTTTATTTATTATTTGTAATATTCTATTTATATTTTCTATTATATTAAATTTACTTTTTTTTTTTTTTTTTTTTTTAACCTGCAGTCAGGTTAGTATGGTATATCTTAACTCACTTATTGTTGAAAAACCATTTCTCTAAAAGCAATCTAGAAAATAATATTTTACTCCTATAAACAAGTTTGAAATATAAAATATAATAAAGGTATAGAATGAAAACTAAATCAAAAGATTAATATAAATAAGAAGGATAAAAAATTATTAAGATCAGTAAACCAGAAAACCTATAATTAAACAAAAGAAAATTAAAAAAAAGAAAAAAAATAAATAAAAACAAAAATTTTACAAAGATTTTAACAATAAAGTGAAATTTGGCATAAAATAATTGGATTTTATTTATATTAAAACTACAATAAGTGATTTATAGTAATAATCTGTAAACAATAATATGTTTTTTATTTAAATTATTAATGAAGCAACAAATTACTTTTGAAATTACAAATCTAAAAACTAAATTAAAATAATAAATGAGTTAGAGATATAGCTTTAGTAACATATTCTTAATGTATAGTATACAAAGGTCTAATAAAACATAAATAACTAATTTGATAGAAATAATAAATTTATAATATTTTTTTTTAAATAGATGGCTTGGTTCTATTTGTTAGCTTTGAATTTATAAGAATTACAAACTAAGTTTTTAACACATGTACAGTATGTTAATTTTAAAATTTCAAATAAATTTTATATTTAATTTTTTATTAATAACAACATATAAAATAATTTGTAATATTTTAAATAATATATAAATATTTGTTTGTCATTAGATTATTTTTATTAATCGAAATTCCAAATTAATACTATTTAACAAGCACATATTGAATAAACAATGACTTGGTGTTCTATTTTCCTGTAGCGCGTAAAAACACCATTCGCATAAAACGCGCGTCCGTCCGAATTTTTTTTTTTAAATTTCATAACCATGACATATTTTTTAGCATTTACTAGATATGGTATTTTTGTATGTAACAAAAGGCGCACACAGTAATCAAAAACCTTTTCGTCCCACCGACCCCTTAAATTTACCCCAATGCAACATGATCAAAACTTTGTTGTCAAGGTCGGTGGTGTAATTGGGCGGCGGGATAAGTTTATTACGGTACTAATATATTAATGAACATATGTTATTAGTCGAGAAACGACAAATCGGTGCGGAGGTTAGTGATGTAAGACAACCATTTTTAGTAAAGTTATGACAATATGATTACTTGACTTGATACAAAGCGATAGGTCATATCACACGCGTGACTATAATCGCTTTGTAAGCTTTCATGTAAAAATAATAATAATAACGAGACTTTGTTAACTGGAGCTTACGTATTAAATATTATTGACAAGTCTATCATCGTAAAATCATAAATAAAATATATAGATATATATAAATATAAAAAGGCTTAGAAATAATTCATCTTATCAAACAATTTTTTTTTCTTTTTCGATTATACTTTAAGGTCAACATAAATCTTAATAATAGTAAACGCGTCCTTTTGTATACTTAAAATATAAAAAAAAATGGGTAAAGCTACTCCTACCGCGTCGAAAACAAAGGCCAAGAAGGATGCTGTTGAGAAGAGTGCAACGGAGAAGAGTTATACTGAGACCACACATGAAAAGACCGAGAAAAGCGAAAAATGTAAGAATTTTGCACTTTTGCTTTCTCTTTGTTTAAGGTGCATCGTCAATATACTGAGAGATTCTCCGATATAAATTTCAAAACTTTTAGCTGAAAAATCTATTCGGCCATACAACAGGTTTATGCAGACAGAGCTTCCCAAGGTCAAAGCCGAGAATCCGGGGATGGATCATAAAACTGCTTTCAAGACGGTCGCCGAACTTTGGAAAACCTCGTAAGTCATGACCAGATAATGACGCGGCTTCGCATCTACTTTTTTCGGGTTCCCTGACGTTTCTCACTTTGTTTTGTTACCTTATATCATTAGACCCGAGAATCCAAAGAATAAGAGTCAAAAACAGTAATTTTATTCATAATAGTATAGAAATTTTCTATCACGATCACGCGGTTTAAGAATATATTAATATGCAAAGATAATAATGGCTGGTGTATTTCGATCTTGCGTAGGCATTTAAAGAAGTCGTGTAATTAATAAACAGTACAGTTTACCACCTATTGCTGTGTAAAAATTCTTTTGATTCAATGTTCTGCATCGCGCGAATTAAGATTGTGCGTGACACTGACACTTGATTAAAAAGATAGATTGATTACGCGTGCACAATAAAAATGTTTTATTAAATTTACTGTATTCGGAATCCTGAGTTCTAAGGAAAAAATAAAATAAAATAAAATAAAAAAATTTTATAGTAAAAGCATATCATTGACCAGAAGTAATAATAATTAATGGTCGATAAAAAAGTTTCTCTTTCGTACATTGTTTCGAATGTTTTACACAAAATGCATAAAGTTAATCAATCAATCGGTGTCACATCTTGTCACCCGCAATGCTAGCGTACCGGCTTCTATTCTCAATCAGAATGCGGATTGTAACCTTGTTCTGGTCATGATTTTTTACTACGATCACGTGTGATGTTGACCGCTCTTTTTGTTTTCAACCCCTATTTTTTTTTAACATCCTTTTCTGTAGTCTTTATCGTTACGTACTGTACATGCAATAGTCAGGATTATTATTATCCTTTTAAATCCCATATTCGTACAAGTTTTTGGCGATCCATTGCGCTAACCGTATTATATAAAAAAGGTCATTCGTGAACGTGTCGAAATGAAAATAATTTATTTGACAAATTTTATTTATTAAAGGTATGGCTTATGTGCACTCACCATACTAATCACTTTCCGCAATTTCCAAGGTTCAATGGAATTTTATTTCTTCTCTCATTAATTAATTATTGTCAAAGAAAGAAAAATGTCGGAAATAGCTCGATTAGCTCTGCTCGATACGGACTTATTATACATCATCTTCGACAATTTTGAGAGGCAAGATGATATGTTTATTTCTTTATTGGTTCATCCTCTGTGGACCAAGGTAATGAGCGCCCAAATTGTCAATTTTATCCACGAGCAAGCTACTAACCAACCAATTTTTTTTGAAATATCAAAACAAAAACAAAGGTTTTGGTAAGGAAGCTTTGGAAGGAGCCCGTATGGAAATCCCCTAGATCATACAAAAACTTCATAAAAACTCTACGTTCCTCATCTCCATTCTTTCCGTACGCTGATATGGTTCGCCATCTTAATTTCGTCCCGCACCGATATCGCCCCCACCCATCGTTTTCTCGAAAAGACATCAGATTCATAGCCGATCGTTGTAGATGTCTAACAAAACTTTGCGTCGCCTGGATGATGGATCCATTCGATTCGTACGTAGTCGCCAAATTTCTTGTCAATTCTCCGAACCTGACTTCCATATCTTGCCCAAATTGCACGATGGAATGGCTCACGGAGGCGGTGAGTCCTATACTGAATGGACACTGTAAAAACCTTAAACATCTGGAGGTGAAAAATTGGGCTCACGAATCTAATGAGACCTGTGCCCTTTTAGAAAAGGTGGCCGAGAATTGCAGTGGGATCGTGTCGTTGCATGCTCATTTGCTTGTCACCAAGGAGATCGCTTTGATATTGATCAAGTCTTTTCCGAACCTGAACTTTTTCAGGTGTCACTCCGTCACGAATTCCGGTTTGGCCATACTAATAAGAGGATTTCGGAAATTAAAAAGTTTAGATCTGACGTTCGATAAGGAGAGTCATCACAGCAATGATGATGAAATTTCACTGGCGGAAATTGGAACGAATTTTTCTTTGTTAGATTCCTTCCAGCTTTCCATCGGAAACGAGAATTTTCCTCGATTCGCCTTATCCTGGACGCAAAATCAATATAACCTTAGGCATATAGAATTGTCCCTGTGCGATGGATTGATAGACGATTCGTTCATATCAATAATTAAACATTGTAGCAATTTAGAATCAGTTCAGCTAAAGTGGTGTAGTCGCCTGACCGATCTTTCTTATTCGGCACTGGCGCAACATCGAAACACGAGACTACGACAACTCCGCATATACAGATCTGGGTTGACCGACATAGGATTGATAGAGATAGCAAAACATTGTCCGATGTTATTGAAGTTGGATATGGAGCACTGCCCGGAGGTGACTCAGGATTCGTTGTTAATGGTCGTAAAGAATTGCAGGAGGCTCGTAAAATTGGCAGGAGGATTCCCTCAACACACTTTAGCGTCATTGGGACGTGCCCTGTGTTTTCATGGGTCCAGGAGTTTGCAGTACCTGAAGCTCAGAGATCCGTTATACAGAGACTCTGTGAACATCATGTTCAGCAATAATTTTGACGGAAATTTATTTGAGCAACTGTCGTGCAATCATCCCCAATTGAAGAGGTTGGTGCTCAGATGTACGATTTGGGAATTGTCATCACGCGTGAGTATGAAGTCCATTAAAAAAATTTTTTTTTTTTTTTTTTTTTTTTTTTTTTTTTTTTTTTTTTTTTTTTTTTTTTTTTTATTTTTTTTTTTTTTTAATTTTTGTTTTTATTAAAAATTTTTTTTTATTTTAATACTAATTTGATTTTTTTTTTTTGTTTTTT